GACTGCACAACTAATTCTGCATAGTACAATATTATGAATCTAATTTTCAGTCATATAATTCAATAAGCTCATTTCAAAAGGAAATCCTTCCACAAACATCCGAAATTGCCAATCTATATTGACGAATGACTAGATTAAACACGTTTGTACTTTTTACACTCACACCAAACTCACAAATACGAACGCTTCCTTCTCCCTCACGAGTCAGTGTTGCGTTCAATAGATATTAAAGCGTTGGGAAATGTCTAATATGATTATCAGGCAGATAATTGCAAAGCATACATGTCGGTCATGCTATCTTGTCAAATTTGAATGTAAGATACCAATCATGTCTGCGACAATCCTTCCAGACGCAACCTCGACTTTATCAATCATTTTATAGAGATATCACAGGGAAAGGCTCGAAAGTAGCTTGGTTTTTCTTTTATCGCGTCACGGCGTTGATACGCTGCGATTCAATTATTGCTCAAAGGCTTTAGGTCTTGGTTTCCGCTGGCGTGGCTAGCTGGCATACATCACAAATTCCTCTTCATCGCAATATCTTCATTATTCCTCTGGTAATTTTCTTGGATGTATCTGAAGCTAATCTTATTTTGCATTTTCTTTTCACGAGGGGTGTGGTGTACGTGTTGTATCTCAAACTTTCGATGGGTTACAAGTACTTTATATGTTTCTTTTTGTTTGCTTCTTTTTCTTCAAATTTAGTCTTTGTTCAATTTTTCTTAAAGTAAATAGGTATACAAAAAAATCATTGATTACATACGTTTAAATAAAAAACATATTAATGATGGAACAATCATTAGAAAGTATTTGTACTTTTAATGAGACAGCACTCCATTTTTGAAAGTTTAGAGCCACTGTGAGTGGTAACTTGCAATGGCACCGTGAGGGTTTGATGGGGAGAGGGTTTGGGAGAGGGCACTGGCATTAATGGCGTGCGCATGTTTGCAACGAAAACTACGACGAAATTACTTTTTCATCTCCCCCGCCTCCCCCCCCCCTTCTCTCTCTCTCTCTCTCTCTCTCTCTCTCTCTCTCTCTTTCTCTCCCTACCTCTACCTCTCTACTTACATCTCTCTCTCTCTACCATGCTCCCTCCCACATCTATCTTTTTCTCTCTTTTTTTTATAGCCGAAGCCGTGAGTTAACTCCCGGTGGAGTCACTTTCTCCACCTTCTACAAAATGTCAGCCGGAAACGGCGGTAGCATGAAGTAGACAACAAAGTTACCACTCATCCTTTATACATCATTCTGCTTGAGATATAGATCGAATGCTCCATGAATCAAGTTATAATGAGAATATGAATACGACACTATTTCTAACTCGTAGACGGTAGCTTTTGAAGCGGTAGGACCAAGTCAACACAATTATCAGGGGGCCTTTGAGTATCACATTTAAATGAAGTCTCAGTTGATTGATGAGCTCATAATCATCATACTTTGTCGAGTCGCTCTTTTATCCGTCAATGTTTACATTGTCAAGACGACCCCCTCGTGAAGGCAACATTTTGTCAAAAGAAGTTTTCTGATTTGTCTACTATGCGATACCATCCACTGTGTTATCGAGTCAGTTTACAAAATTTATACAATTATGTTAGGGTGAAAAAGAAAGAAAAAATTATAGAAAGTATATAAATAATATCAATTGAGAGAGAAAGAGAGAGAGGGGGATTAATGATAATAAAGTCATTGGCAACAGGAGTTAAGTATGAATAATTGCCATCTAATTATAACGAAAGAAGAAGTGACTGAAGTGCCTGGTCCCACCTATATATACCCAAGAAGTGTTGAAAACACGATCGCATATACTGTCAAAAAATCAACTTAAGGAACTTACAATGGCCTTTTACATTACAAAGACATTACAAAGGCCAAAGGGGCACGTGCCCCCCCCCCCCCCTCCCTGGCCATCCCCGCCCACCACTCACTTTCCACGCCCAAAACCCATTTGGCATACCTTCCACAATTAAATACACGAAAACGTGAAAAGAGAATACTGCACCCATCTCATTATAAGGTAGTATTTAATTTGTTCCATGTGATTAGATGTATCATAAAGTGTCGTTCAGATATGGCTCGGTAAACTAAAGCGTTTTATGTTTAGGTGTGGTAAGTGTATGCGTCATATTAAAGATACTATGTCTTTTTTGCAGCCAACATCAAATTCTGTAGAACTTTGCAGGAATTATAAATATGTCATGTATGTCCTATCTGTGAAATTTGAACGTTAGCAGTGAGTGTCCTAATATTCAAATTATGCAAGGAAACCCGTTTACTTGCTTGACTCCATTGAGTGACTGACTGACTTTTTTTCTTCTACTTGGGTAATAACATACATACAATGAGCTGTAAAGGGTACATGAACATTTGTCTACATCAATAACCCACTTCTTGTAATGGCCAAAATTAAACTGATTGAATCTTTGTGCAGCATAAAACGTACGACCATTCGGTACAATGGTCTGAAAATCAGACTATTACTTACTGGCTCTATAGCTCTTAAGTCGATTCGACAACTAATAGTCGTTATTTTCCCACTTAAAGACATTTTCAAGCCCCCTCTTTTTTAGGGAAGTTCTAAAGTAGTATTATCTTTCAAATGCCTTTGGAATTTAACCTTTTCATTTTGTTGGCCTGCTAATGGGACATAGTACCTTTAAACACGGCTGTGGTTGACCGCTTCATAGCCGAACGGCCCCCTCATAATTATGTCGGTTTTACATGTAATGTTGACATTTATGTATGTTTTTTTTTCCTTTTCGGAATGGCGATTTAAAAAGAGAGAATAACTATATGGAAGTTTCTCATGAGCTAATAGATACAAAATAATCATGGATTCCACACGAAATGTAAATACTTTGGCTTTATTACAAAGCGATCTTAAACATGATCACGAGCGCTATGAACTTGAAGGTTTAAATCGATTCTGTGCATGACATGCAAATAACCTTGTGATTGAACTTGAAGTAAATACTATGAACTCACATGGTTTAACAGCTCTCGATATTACACATGAACATGTACACGTACTGCATCCAGAATATTGTGCTTGCACAATTCATTAGACTTCGTTCGGTAGTCAAAAAAACGATCATTCGAATTTCCAAATGAAAAGACAATGTAAAATACAGTTATAACCAGGGGCGGCGATCCAAATTGTATAGCATATACTGGATAATGACTGCAACACACTTTTAGGCTCCGGAGGGGACAAGAGTGCAGCGTTTAGACTAATATAATTGCAAAAAAATCTCGCATTTCGTCCCCCCCCCCCTGGTCATTAACAGAAATCGCCGCCCCTGGAACAGTGGTACATCGATAATGTGATGGAATTGGCCACTTCATTTTCTGTGTGTGCATGTATACATTGGCAAAAACAAATTATTATGACGATATCATAATTTGAGTACGACATGATTGTGATGCTATGAATAATTAATTATGATGACTTAGAATTACAACGTCATCCCAAATAAAACCAATTAAAACGATAAAGACGATTTTAATCCTTACAAAGAAATTATAATGCTGGCTACAGCTATCAGACTTCACAGTACTTGGTTTTGACACTGTCGCAAATGCATAAGCGTCAATCCATAATTTCATAATTGACTGCGTTCTATCATCATGGACATGGTTCTATGCACAGATGGATGGACGGAGGGGACGTGGGCGGCCGAATCGATCACCTTAATATTACTCTTTTCAATTTGTTGCCCGTTTGTTTGTTTACGTTTGGTCTTTTTTTATTTTTGTTTGTTGTTTGCTCGTTGTTTTAATGTTATTTTCTTTATTTATTCATTTACTTTATCATTGTTTGGGGGTTTGGGGGTTTGGTTGTCGGAGATTGTTTATTCAATTGGAACCTAACAGGTGGCCTTGTTTCTACTTGTCCTATTTTGTTCGTGGTGTTTGCGATTATACGACATATTGAAGGTTAAAGGTAAAGACCAGTTATGGTCATGCGATTGCATTGTGAAAGAAACGTTGTGGAATCGATCAGAAAAGGTTGATCATCTAGTATCTAGCATCTGCAAGGTTCTGGAATCATCAAAATGATAAGAAATTTGGCCCATTCTTCGTAAAGTTACAAGCACTATACACAGAAAGATGTATATGGGACTACCCTATATCTCTCACAGACCATGAGAGAAACAAATTTACCAAATATATGAATTAGTAGGCGGTTTCCCGGCAAATTTTTTATCATCTGTATTAGTCAAAACATATTCTTTCACATGATTGGTAACGAGAGCTTCCATTTCATTTTTGGAAATTGGGGCGTTTCCAATAATGAGACAGCGATCGAATACATTCGGTTCGATGCATACGAAGAGTATGGATCGTATCAAATGAACATCAAACATTTAAGTAAATTACTCCAAACAAAACACACATACAAACAAAACGATTAATCGCGGGAAAGTAATCCCAAACTGACTCATTAAGGTTGAGAGTAATTGGATGAAGAGGCCGAACTCCGTTCGAACTAGCTGGAGCGAAAGAAAATGATGAGGGGAGCAACAACTCAAAAGGGGAGAAGGTCAACGATGACGGCAAGCGCGCATTCGACAAATAAAGCTAATACGAAGAACAGAAAATGATTAAACTAATTATTAATTCATATAAATGACAGTAACTCAGAATTTTATATTCGGTTCAATTAGTCGGGCCTATTTCACCCCAGCTCTGCACTAAGCGATGATGATGATGATAATAACAACAACAACAATAATGTTGATAATATTGATGATGATAATGATAATGATAATAGTAATAGTAATAATAACAACAATAATAATAATAATAATAGTGATAATCATCACCATTGTCACCATCATAAGAGCAATAGATGATGATGACGACGATGATGAGGATGATGGTGATGATAGTTTATAAGATTGGTAAGGCGCCAAATCCACTTAAAATTAAAGGTTCAATGCGCAATAACGCAAAAGCTTAATTCTCACGAAACCACTTTAATTCACAAAAAGTACAACATGAGTAAGACAGAACGGAAAATAAAAGACTGATTTAGGCCAACATATAATTTTCGTTTCTAAATTCAAAGTAATGAGTTCTGGGAATGGTGAAATATTTTTCCTCCGATGTATTATTATCAAGTCACCTACTTTGCCTTCACACGATATTTAGATATTCATTTTGTTCCAATGCTGATTTCTCGCCAATGCAATTGATTAAGAAGTATTATTTGCAGATTGTCCTCTACACTTTAGAGCCTATATGTGTATCAAATACGACAAGAGCCTGCACATTTTGATCACTTTTATTTCTGTTAAGATCGTGTATCTCCGTTCACTCAATTTTACCCTGTCAAAAATATTGGATAACATAAAGGTGAGTTAAGCGACACTCAATATTCATGGCCTATCAGATATCAGATAATCGTATGCGATTTTTTTTTTTTTGCACGCAAGCCTGCTAAAACGGATATCCAACCTTCAAGATAAATTTGAGTTCTGGTTAAAAAAAAGAAAGTGAATTCTGAAAGAATCAAACGGAACTTGCACTGAATGTTCAAGATTGCAAGTAAATGTCATTTGCCAAACAATTTTGGTAGAAAATGTATACTGGCTGAGTAATGAGCATAGAAAGATAAGGAAATCAAGGTAAGTAGCCCAGACACCATTTGTGTAGTCCCATATACATCTTTCGGTGTACAGTGCTTGTTACTTTACCAAGACTGGGCCAAATTTATTATGATTTTGATGGCTGCAGAACCTTGCAGTACACACCAATACTTACATGCTACATGATCATCCTTTTCTGGTCCATTCCACACCTTTTCTTTTACAATGCAATCGCATGACCAGAACTCACTTTTATCTTTAATAGCAAACAAATCTAAGTCAGAGAAGTAGACTGGTGACATTTTGAATTAAATCGGACAAACAGAATTTTTGGAAGTTGTAGTCACTGTACGTATTGGAACTTCAAATTGAGTGTACACGACAAACGGGAGAGTTTTCCGTCTCTACGTCAAAACCGACTGGTAAAATAGCTGTAGTGATCCCATATTTCAAACGTTCATATCTCTCTTATTATTGTTCCTATTTCAAACTGTCGGTATTCTGTTTTGCCCTGATTGCCCTATACATGGAGGGGGTATGGTGATTTGACATAATTGTGAAACAGCAACAACTGCTCTCGATTTTATTTAGTCAAAGATGAAGGTCCATATTTTGCTCAACTTGATTAAAACCCAGCCTTAATTGAGTCTGAGATCACATTTGAAAATGGAAAAGTTAGACTCCAGACTGGCATCGTTTATTTGTTAAACCGAAGCAGAACAAAAGCTTAAGGTCAGCGTTGGTTTTTAACGTTTAGTAGAATAAAAGCCATTAGTTGGGGCTAGGGTTGCAACTTATTAGGCTAGGTTGAGTTTAGCGTGAGAGTTATATTAAAGTATATTGCTGGGTCTAAGGACAAGCTCGGAACTTGGTTGGTGTAGTATTTTGACCGCAGAGAGATAGACCAAATGTCTACGGAGCAGATTAAGTGCAACTGTGTACATCCCACCCCTTTCTGACTCCGAACATTTAAAAATATAAATTAATTCTAAAGAACGTTTAACATTTCATGTATTAAGACCTTGGTTAGCTTTTTGATGAGGAGATTATCATTTTGTTATTATGTTTGTTTCACGAAATATAAAGAATCATAATATTTCAAATCCGTGTTTAACACAATTGCAAAGGGCAATTTGTATATTCATATTTATCTTTTTATTTTATTTTGTTTGTTTTATTTTTACACGGTACCATTTTCAGTTACAAAACTGCTACACCCTACACAATAGAAATCATGTTCTAATCATGTGAGGAAAGGGCTTTTGAAATTACCCAGGTTGATTTTTTGAAAGTCTTTTCCATCGTGTTATTCATATTTATACGAGTGAATCTCCACTTTCATGTAGACAATCTGGACTGGAACTCATTAATTTGTGTGTCTGTTGGTTAGTCGCGGCTGAACGGAAAGAGACAATGAGGAATGGAGAAGGGCCTTGGAGAAGATGAATGGAAGGCAGGCATCTCGGATGACATGGAAGGAGATTAATAGGCTGTATGATGGAGGAAGCAGTATATAACAAGACGCCCCCACCCAGTGGTGTAGCCACAAGGGGCACTTTATAGGGGACACGTCCCCCGTGACCCAGGGAATGGCGGAACAAGAAATGAGAGAGGGGGAGAGAGAGAGAGAGAGAGAGAGAGAGAGAGAGAGAGAGAGAGGGTGGAAGGGAAGAGAAAAAGAGAGAGAGAGAGAAAGAAGAAGGAAAAGGGAGATAAGGAAGGAAAAAAACAAGAAAAGGGGGAATAAGAAGAAGAGGAGAAGAAAGAAGGAGACGAAGAAAAAAAAAAGAAGAAGAAGAAGAAGTAAAAGAAGAAGAAGAAGAAAAAGAAGAAGAACAACAACAACAACAACAAAAGCAAAAGAAAAGGAGAGACGAAGAACGAGAAGAAGTAGAAGAAGAAGAAGAAGAAGAAGAAGAAGAAGAAGAAGAAGAAGAAGAAGAAGAAGAAGTAGAAGAAGATTAAAACGACGAAGAAGAAAGAGATAGAAAGAGATGGAATGCAACCAAAAAACGCATAATGGTTTATGCACCCCTTCCAGACGCTTATCACACCCCTTAACGGTCTTGATCTTTTGATTTTCATTCAACTAGTAAAACTAGTGCGCCCCTCCCCTGATAATAGTACCCCTTTAATGTCTCGCTACACGCTTCACCATGCACTGCCCCAACCCCCTCCCCATCCCACTCTCCCTTGAGAAATAGGAAACTAGGTTGATGATGATGATTCTGATGAATGTCTCAAATCTGAAACATGTTTCCAACATATATCATGAAATATTGTTGCCCTTTATATTGCCAGTGGCACTGAAACATATATGTGTATACCCTCTCTAACTTTTCTTATATGTATTCCTCAAATTTTTTAATATAGAAATGCATTTTTCAGTAATGTATAAAGATTAATTCCATATTATAGACGTAATATTCATAACTGTAGTTATTATTGTAAAAGCCTTTTTAACCACAGGCGTCTTTATATATTCATTTTGTTTAATGCATTACGGACAGGAGAGGGATTTCAAACGCAACCTTTACTCATCATTTCTTAATATTTACACTCATTGAACGAGTTACATTACTCTTGTTCATCATTTTGAAGTTGCAAATCTTTTTCCAAAACGTCTTACAGACGGTAACATATTTAGCAAATAAGATTTAAAACTTTCATGAAAAGGGGGATGCTAACTAATAATAAAACCCATTGCCCCTTCTTCACCGGCTATATCACGTAAGACCGACAGACCACCAAACCTACAGAATACAAGACCTACAGATCACAAGATCGACGGAACACGAGACCGAAAGATCACGAAACCTACAGAATACAAGACCTACAGATCACAAGATCGACGGAACACGAGACCGAAAGACCACGAAACCTACAGAATACAAGACCTACAGATCACAAGATCGACGGAACACGAGACCGACAGACCACGAAACCTACAGAATACAAGACCTACAGATCACAAGATCGACGGAACACGAGACCGACAGACCACGAAACCTACAGAATACAAGACCTACAGATCACAAGATCGACGGAACACGAGACCGAAAGATCACGAAACCTACAGAATACAAGACCTACAGATCACAAGATCGACGGAACACGAGACCGACAGACCACGAAACCTACAGAATACAAGACCTACAGATCACAAGATCGACGGAACACGAGACCGAAAGACCACGAAACCTACAGAATACAAGACCTACAGATCACAAGATCGACGGAACACGAGACCGACAGACCACGAAACCTACAGAATACAAGACCTACAGATCACAAGATCGACGGAACACGAGACCGAAAGATCACGAAACCTACAGAATACAAGACCTACAGATCACAAGATCGACGGAACACGAGACCGAAAGATCACGAAACCTACAGAATACAAGACCTACAGATCACAAGATCGACGGAACACGAGACCGAAAGATCACGAAACCTACAGAATACAAGACCTACAGATCACAAGATCGACGGAACACGAGACCGAAAGATCACGAGACCGACAGATCATGAGACCGACAGAATACAAGACTGACAAAACACCAAGGCCAAAAAACCATAAGATCAACATTCGTGTATCTGTCTTGCGTCTTTTAAAGATTCACTATATTAGAACGTAATCGTCGGTTTCATGGACTGTGAATATTACATAGGGATGTACTATTTCATCTTCGCAATTATGAACCCGATTCCACTCTTGGAATAATGAACATAACAAAAAATTATATTATTGGATTTATAAACCTTCGGGAGTATGATCCTTTGGAACACTATACCTTCTGATTAAACCAATGATAGTTTTTTTTCGAATAAATATATGAAGAAGAAAAAAAGGATAAATCTTTAATGGAAACTCATGAGCTTGAAATAATAACTCGATCCTTTGAAATAATCAGCTTCCCTCATTAATTAATTGTTCGAGGACGACGGAATATACATAGACTTTGGTATTAACAAATTAAGCTTCATGAGATCTTGTACGAATCATTTATCAAATGGTAAATGACAGAGATGTCAATTAGGCTTAAAATGTTTGATCTTGTTTTGCCAGTAATGAAACACATTGCCCCCGGGGACCCGTTTCACAGGGCCTTTTTTCAATGACAAATGACAAAAATCAGTGACAAATCTGCTAATTACCAATCAGAAGCAAGGATTTTACTAGCTTATAACATAAACTGTCATTTGTCACTGATGACAAGTTTGGTGGTATGGGGCCCTGGTTTTATCACTATACTAAAAGGCTAACCATCAATGCAACATAAATATATTGTCTTTTGGCGATTGAAATAAGGTGATTACGTTTTATTTATCGATAAATTGTAAAAGCTTAATGGATTTCCACTGCCGATGTATATTTGTAAGTTACGTTGCACTTTGCTTTTCAGTGATCGAATAGAATTTTAGAACCTTTTAGATTAGATATGACACTCAGTTTAATATCTTTCAATACATTTTCGTTTTTATTTTATTTTTTAAATCCTCTAGCAATTGGCATAATCCAGCAGGTGGCGACGCCTCCCCCACGTCTTTAGTACCATGCGAAAAATAATAATCACTTTTCAAAATAACTTTTTTTAAATTTTGTTTCCATTGTGTTACAGGGTTGCCTCTTCTGCCTGAAAAACAAACAACACAAACAATATAAGCCATGCTGGTAGCAATAAATAACAAATCGTGTGTCTCAGATTGCGTAAAACTTGCCCAAGTGTTTAAACATAATTTTCATTTCAACCCCCCCCCCCCCCTCCTCCCCCTCCCCACCCTCGCGCTGCGCTTTTGTGTCCCTTATACAAATCCATCCCCTCCCTTTGTTTATCATCGTCTGGATATGTCAGTGGATGTATTACAATGTGTATGGAAGAAACTGGATGTATAGGACGTGATACAATAGACGACGGAGATACAATAAACCCTTAGCAGGGAGTCGTGCAATATGCACCGCTACCAAAGCGGGCCTTCCTCATGAAATATGACATTACACACAGCAAACATTCATTAATCTTATAAATAAGGAAACGATTGAGACATAAACATAGATCATTTGACGGCCATGCAAGTCTACATAAATACAACGGCCCTGTAGGCTACATACATATTACATATGTATACTCAAAAAAATATATACTTAAATATACTTTTTTTTAAAGAGTGAATATTCACTCTATTTTCACTACATTTTCACTCTCCAGAGGAGTGACGTCCGTGATCATTCAATTTTTTTTAGAGAGTATGATGATGATGATGATGAACAGCATTATTTTGTATGGCGCCATATATCTGTTTCAAAAACAATTCAAAGGCGCGAGCTCCTTCAATAAAATTAGCATTTAAATGTCTGAAGGAAGATGTGAGTATATAATAAATGTTCAACCTTTCGTTTGTATGTTGTTGTGTAAACTCTTTAACACAATGTGATTTGTTGTTGTTGTTGTTGTAGTTGTAGTTGATGATGATTCTAATCTAGTCAGGTGCAAGGGGGAAGGAGTGTGAGACCATAATAGTGCCGACAGGTTAGCAAACAATAATCCAACGAGCACACACGAGATATTTTCTCTTTATCTATTTTCAGATTTACTGAAAGAGACTAAAAAATACACATATAGAAGGAAACAAAAATTCAATAGTTTTGCGGGCATTGCTTTTAAAAGAAAAATCTTTATTTTCCTTATAAAAGAATTGTTGAATGGGGGACGCCCATCCCTCCTTCTCAGCGCCCTTTCAGGTTTTGGATGATATGATAACGCCAGACTAATAGCCCAGAGTAGTTACACATAACAGGCACATAAATTATAAATAAGTTGCCTATGACGTCATGCGACCTCGCCCGGGGCTTTTCCAATTAACACAAGGAGAAAAGGTGTGTAGACATTAATTTGTTAATGAGGTTTTGATTAATATTAACAATAGCAAAACGCGTGCCGTCAAGTTATTTATTTTAGAGTGTATTGCCAATTGACCGACCTTTGTAACCGAATAGGAGAGGTTCAAGATAAACTTGAGTTCTGGTAAATATAGAAAATAAATTCTCACAGAATCAAACGATACTTATACTGAATGTTCAAGATTACAAATAAATGACATTTGCCAAACAATTTTGGTAGAAAGTGTATAGTGGCTGAGTAAGGTGAGTACTAGGTCCGACACCATGTGCCAGGTCAGTCACTATGTGCAAATGTGAGTTGTTGTGCGTTTATTTTTTTCACTGGTTCAAACAACCCATCTATACTGCAGGATAATTATTCCAGAACATATCATGGCGATTTTCTCTCAAAATACGATCCCCATACCAGAGCTTAAGATTAGCTATAAATCCCTCTGCCTAGCTTATTTTTCTTCATTCGCTAACTTTTTGAACCTGTTGGCCCGATTTCTACTCCAGCGTATTAACGACCCCACGCTGCACGAGTCTAATGAAAATGGTATCGAAAAGGAAATTGGAATGAAGCTTGATAAATGCGGTATCATATTATTCTGCTTGTAAACATTTGCGGGAAGGGGTGGTATTGTCTTTTTTTCAAGTTGCAACACCATGTCTTCTGTATTTATATGACTTTTCTTACATTGATTGGAGGCATAAACCATACATACCTTCCCTTCCCTCCCCCCCCCCCCCCCCCCCCCCCCTCCCCTCCGTAGCTACACTGCTGTCTCTAATAATAGCGATAATAGGCGATAATCATTCGCCATAATTCTTGAGATTTTGAGAAAAATTGTTCGAGCGATTATCCGAATGGAACAAAAAATAGAGGCAACCGCTCAAATCACTCTCGATCCATCCCGCTAGGAAACCCTTCGGATTATCAGAGACAACTTTCAACAACAAAAAAGGAAAAGAACACGAAAATAATTTTACACTTACTTTTATGCAAAAATAACTGCCACGAAGTAAATCCTCCCCGGGGGAATTATAAAAAATAGCCGCTAGAGTCCGTCCAATTAACGATATCAAAACAAAACATCACCACAGCCGAATATTAACACAAACTATCACCATAATCGAATATCCAAACAAGCCGAATGTCTAGGTCTAGTTTAATAGCAAAGAAAATACACACCACACTAATATCTCGATCATACTTGTAAATTACTCGCTTCTATTAGTGTATAGGGATCATTGCTGCCATATACACCGATACACGCTGGCACTAACCCGGATAAGGAATCTACAAAATTGTTGTATAAATACTAGGATGTGTAATTCGACGCTGCTGTTACAATAGGCAAATATCATTAACAAGATTATAATGTATTAGATTCCCTAACAATGAAGTAGGGCAACATTCAGTGGGATCCAAAACCACAAACGCGTCAGTCTAAAAAAGGCGGATACGGGGATGGAACATAAGGGCTAACACCCCCCCCCCCAATCCTCTTTCCTTTTTAGTCGGCAAAAAGTGCTGCTATTTTGTATGGATTTGAGTACAAATCTTAACCGTATTTCTTTGAGTTCATCATTTCTGTTCGTTTATTCATAAATGATAAGATTGGTCATGCTTATTTGACATGTTTAATATAAGAATTTGTATTTAAAAATTAATGTCCATGGTTGCTATGGTCATATAAATGCTGTAAATCATCATAATCATCGTCATCATCATCATCATCATTTCTAGGCATCAGAGGTGGACAGAGTATATCCCCCATCCCCTGAAAAAGATTCAGTAACATGTACGTTACGCCCGTCCAGGCATCGAGGCGGATGAGCCATCGCTGTCTTGGGTTCTTTTGAAATCACTTTCATATAGTGTTGAAAAGGCGCCGAAATAAGACTCCGGTCGAATACATTGTTGACTTAATGGAAAGAATAAGATTGTGCCGTATTGATACAAGTATGTGTATACATCGGGATGTAATGTCCTCCTCAGCAAATCATAGACGATTTTTTTTTTTCTTCTTAAAGTTCATTTCTGCATTTATCACAGTTTATAGATAATGAAAGGTAGACAGAGTTATCTGGTGTAAGGGAAGAGAGAGACCGACATGGACAGAGACAGAGAAAGAGAAAGAGAGGGAGAAAGTGAAAGAGAAAAAGAGAAAGAGAGGGAGAAAGAGAGAGAGAGAAAGAGAGAGAGAGAACGAGAGAAAAAGAGAGAGAGATATAAAGGGAGAGAAAGAGAGAAAAGAGAGAGAGAAGAGAGACAGAGAGAGAGACAGAGAAAGTGACAGAGAAATAGACAGAGAAAGAGAGAGACAGGGATAGAGACACAGAGACAGAGACAGAGAGAGGACGGAGAGAGGGATGAAAAAGACAGTAGATGTTGTAATTCGTAGTTTGTTTTCTTCAGATTGGCTATTCATGGAAAGGGCTACGGCCCTACATTTCGAGTCAAATTAAACGTCAACCAAATTGTAACCCAATGAAAAAAGACTAGTCCAGACCATTAGGGGATGCAAGCATACCCGCTCCACAAAATCTCACACTAAAATTACCTGTATAATCAGATTTTTACAGAGCATTTACGAGCTTGAAGAGAAGGTCGGTGTCTTGTAAAAACGAAAAATAAATTAAA